CAAATCTGCAAGAAGCTGCCTGCTATGAAGACGGAATCCTTCTGCATGAGACTCTAAGGGGCTGGAATGCAGTAGAGCAAAACCTACAAAGTGGCTTCACTTTTCAGAAGCCACTTTTGACATATTTTGTGCAAGACAAAAACAATTACATGCTCCCAAATGACGTGTGTACATGTAACTTCATGTACATGAAGCAAACCCACAGGAGTCCTCAATACAGTCGTACCTTGCATCCCAAACACCTTGGTACTCAGATGTTTTGGCTCCCAAACGCCACAAACCTGGAATTGAGTGTTCCAGTTTGCAAACGTTCTTTGGAACCAGAACGTCTGACAGAGCTTCCGTGGCTTCCAACTGGCTGCAGGAGCCGCTTTGGTTTCCGAATGTTTTGGAAGTCAAACGGACTTCCAGAACAGATTCCGTTAGACTTCCAAGGTACCACTGTATAAAGTGACTGCCAAGCCATGCTTTGGGTGTAACGGAGCGACTATTCCAGTCCTGTTGTATGTATGAAAAGAGGCTGAGAGCAAAAAGGATCAGAGAAAGTCACAGGCAGATGGAAAGAAAGAAGGAAGGAAGGAAGGAAGGAAGAAAGGGAGGGAAGGAAGGGGGTAAGTAAAGGAGACCTGAAAGGTATAATGCCATGTCCAAAAATTAGTAACATGCAACAAGGCATATTTCATTCTCTATTAAGAGTAGCCACAGTTCCGCAAGGTTTAGAAAATAATAATAACAACAGACTCAAGAAGGAGCTTGAAATACAAGAGAACTGAATATTGCAACTTAGTTTGTTGTGCGCACAAGAAAGGAGGAATTTTCATGTTCCTCATGTGCTGGCTACCCCAAGGATCCTGCTCCTGCTGGTTATTCTGTTCTCCTACTTCCTGTGCCCTGGGGGTTCACTGTCCCACTTTGTATTTTCCCTCTAGCTGTTCAGGAGGCTGCACTGCCGGGAGGTCAAGAGCAGCATGGGCCGCAGGAATGCAGAGACACCATTCGGCCACCCACAGAAGACATTCTGGCCAAGCTACCAGCAGGGGCACATACTGCCTTCTCTCTTTTGTCTCTGTGCTGCAACCACCCATTATGTATGCAATCATCCAATATTGACTGCAATTGCTTCTGCTCATGTAACAGGAATTCCACTCCCTTTTCCTCCTTGCATGTACCACTGCAATCACGTCCCCCTGGCCACAAAACATGCTCTGGAGGATTGGGTGAACCCCCAGAGCATATTGGGGGGCGGTGGCATGGGGGAGATGAGAAGTTCCATTGTTTGAGCTAAAGTTGTTCAATTCTAGCAATGCCTTTGCTGTATACAATTCTTTGTGTCCTGGGAGAGATGGACTGTTAATATCAGCAATTTTTGCTTCTTGTACCCACTGACTGGGAACAACTTCTGTGGTCTCTTGACGAAAGCAGCTAACCACTCTCTGCTGTTTTGCTTAGCAGACTCATTTGGTTTCCCTCTAGGTGGAGCCAAGTGATACTACCCACTTCAATCTGGCTGCAAGCACTGTTGGGTTTTCTACCATAAGAAGCTTTTCGCTCCAGGAAGTACCCTGAAGCCCAAGAGGAGGATCCACAGCTCCACTGCATGAAAAATATGGCCCTTAGACGTTGTGCAGCAGGAAAAGTCAGCGCTTCCACCAGCTGTGGAGGCTGAGACTTTATATCATGGGGTAGGTAGAAATACACCCTGGGATAGAAGCCTGGTTAAAATCAGCCGCTGCTTCAAGTCTTCAGAATGTTTTGGGTTGGGGGGCGGGGAGGAAGGGAGATGACTGACAGGCAGAATATTGCCCACAGCAACTTGTGGGAAGGGATGCCCCATTTCACATATTTCCCCCCAGCAGCACCAGAAAAAGAAGCCAATATCCAAGTGTATTCAAAATGAGGACATAAGCTTACCATTAATTAAGACTGAATGTGACTAATGGGGGCTTGCAGGTTAAATGTACAGTTGCAGCATTTAAGCTAGCAGATATTTGCATGGCCACAAGTGAAAACGGGCCCTTCCTTTATGCTATTTGATGCTCTAATGTAAATCAAGGCAGTCCAGAAAGGCTTTGAGATCAAAATACCTATAGACAGCAAATCCTCCTCCTTCCAGAATACCATCCTGCTTATGGGGAGTGTGATCCAACTGGAACAAATTCTTCCCAAACAGAACTGTCTGGGGTGGCCAGCTCTTCCTGCTTCAGGATTTCCAAAAGTCAAATGAATCTTCCCGAGTATGTTCTCTTCCTTCCACCCCCACCTGAATTACAGAGCTAGGAAGCAGTTAAGTACACCCCCACAACCTATGGGTATAGCTCTTCCCTTCTTTAAAATCTGAAGCTAAAATGCGAAAGATGGAAAGATGACTGCTCAGAGCCAAGGCTTACATGTTGCAGAGACTGAGAGGCAGCCATAATGTAAACTCCTTAATTTTTATAAAGCTGCTTCAAGTTTCTTAGAAGACCCCTTGCCACATCCGTTTTCAACCCAGAGATGAAAAGCCTGAATGCAAACACAGGAAGCACGTGCTGCAGATACATCAGCTTTCGCCAATCAGGTGCCCTCCAGCAGTGTGGCTATACAAAGATGTGCTGTTTAGAACTGATGGAGGCCTATAGTCCCGCAACATCTGGATGGCACCAGCTTGGCCGAGGCTGATATGCCCATTGAGGTGCTGTGGTGGGCTGAACGGATGCCCAGCTTGGTCTCTGTGCAATGTGGGAAATGGCCCGAAGAAACTGCAATATAGCAGGATTGTTGGCAAGCTTTCTGTGGCAGCCGCATGGGCTTCAGTCAATACATTCAGCTTTCCTGATGGCAACACCGCATCACTTATTCTCCCCCACTCTTGTATCCACCCCCTCCTCAGAAAACATACAGACACAAAGCCTAGGAGCCAGGAGAAGCCAAAAGGTTTTTTTGTTTAGTTTTCCGTTTTATGTCTCTGCACTGACCTCACTAAAACTGTGCCGCTATTGAGGATTTTGGTGAAGAAGGAAAAGGGAACTGCTGTGGAATGCACAGACCAGGGGGAACAGCTCACAGGTAAGTAAAATGACGTGTAGGACAAATATTTTCAAATCTCATCTCTTCTATGCACGCACGAAAAAGGTTAAATTCAAAGCGCAGCCCTTCTTGTCACAACCCAAAAGGCTGGTGGAAAACAGTAAGAAAATAAAAACTAGGGATTGTGCATTAGCAATTTAAAATACGGTGTGCAAATTAAATATGGATTAGTTAATCTCTGGGGAGAAGCTCTTAAAAGGAATTAAAATGTGTTTTCCAAATCAATCATCCTAGGCCTAGGTATTATTTCTGATAAGGTAGTTTCACTCCAGGTTCAGAGTTTTCAGTCTCTGCTGGGCTGCTATTCACCACTTGCACCTCATTTGTTGCTGTGTTTAGGTCTTAGCCATCTCCCTTAATTTCAAACACCTAGCTCAGAACCCAAACTCCTGATGGCATTTCCCTACCCCCAAATCTCAATGAGGCAATCTTTGTTTTCATTTGCAACCCCTCCTGCTCCTTATTTCTCCTGTTCTGGAACAACAAATGGGAGTGACAGTGGCCTTTCAACCAATACTCTTCTGGAAAGAGCAGAGATCACTCTGCATATTGACACAAGGACGACCTGCACGGAATACTGGGATATGTAGTCTCCCCAGGTGACAATACTGCATTGGATGGGAGGAGACTGAAATCCATTTCTTTGTTCTCTAACAGATTTGTGGCAATTCACAAGCACAGCTCCAGTGGAAAGTCTACATGGGGCAAGAAACTTGGCATTCCGAGGAACACGGCAAACCAATCTGTCGTGTGCTTATGGCGTTCGAAGCTTGGCCAATAGAGCCCTCTAAAGAGGTAGAGTATCAAATCATTTTATTATTTTTTTTAAAGGCAAAGAGCTCACCTGTTTTGTTACAAAGCTTGACACAACCTGAGTTAGCAAGCAGAGTAATACGGGAGTTAATCAAATCTGCCAATTTGCTTCTGCATTCCTCCATCACCACTGATGGTCTGTGGCCATACAAATGCTGGAGAAGTTTCCCAAGCACTGGCTTAGAAGTTTCACTTTGTGGCAATCGAAACACCTGGCTCTTGGGAGCTGAAGAGCCACTCACGAGTTTGGGTGTGTGTTTGGGTGAGCCAACACCTTAAGATCAATCTCTTGCATGCGCAGAGCACACATAGCCTTTGGGATTAGCTCTACACAACGCCAGGCAGCGATAGAAGCTTGACCAACACAGCCTGTGTGGTCCCTGGAGCCAGAAAAATCTCATTCCGCTAATGCAGGCAAGGACACACATCTCTTTCGTTGCCATTAAAAGGGGATGGGTACACGGACTTTGTCTCAAAAGTCATACAAATGCTTCTCAACTCCCATTCATGGGAAGTTCAGGCAACACTTTAAACCTGATAAACTACATGGTGTTTTGCTTTGCTTTTTTACAATGACAGGATGGTTGCAGTAACACAAGCAAAGGACAAATAAGGGTAGACTTAATTTTTCAGTAAATGTTGTCTTATTAGGCTGTGCAATGCATTATCCTTTGCTTAATGCTTCTTATTTGGAAGCACGTTGCAAATGCAACTTTTCTTGCCATTTGCATCTTGTCTATAATCAGTATTTTTTTATGTTGATTCTTCCTAGCTGACTAGATCTTCCCTTCCCGTACTTCACTCCTGATCCCACCTCCTTATTCAGGGCCAGTCCATCACAGAAGACATAGGCTCCCCAAGATTGATTCCAGCTCGTTCTTTCATTTCTGGTCAGAGACTTTTGCGTTTCAAACTCTGATTTCAACTCTTGACTGCTAGAGTGAACTTGGGGAGGGCTAACTGCAGCAGCCACATCTGATCTCCTCCACCCCCTCCAAACTCCTGTATATGAATTTTACAAGCTGAGCCCAAGTCCAAAGGGATCCAAAGGGCTTTCCAGACCAAGGAGCCGTATCTGGTTCACTTACTGTAGTTTTAAAATAAAAATGAGAAGAGGATCATAAAATGAATAATATATATATATATTATTTTTTGGTTTCTCCTGGCTCCATGAACACAAAGAGGTGCACGTCCTACCATAGGAGGAAGCAATGGCTGTTAAGTTTTACAGTTATAGTGGAAAGCACTGATCAACCCTTGCCAGGCTTCCCTCATTACTGGATGTGGCAGGCAGTGGAGGAGGTGGCTTGACAGCACATGCAAGTGGGGTTGACCGACTTCGGAGGGATGAGGTCGAGGTCCTCGTCATCTGGGATCTCATCTAACCGGTAGCCATCCTTTAGCAGCTGGATGTTCAAGTCCTGGTTGATCTGCTGCAGACAAAGAGTCAACGAGTCAAGGAACTGACAGTCCAACATCATCTCCCATACCCAACATGGCTGAACGGCAATGGCCTGGTCCATTTTGAAAGAGACAAGTGCTTAGACGGAAGCCACAGCTCCGCACAAGGTGTCAATTCACAGCTTCTCCAATTCGCAGGAGGAAATCCTTCTGCCTGAGGCCCTAGAAAGTAACCAGGTGAGGCTGAAATTACTGGGGCAAAGATCTTTCCCAGCTCTGCTACCAGAGAACCAAATGGATATGGAACATGACTTACTGATGTCCCTTCAGATGTCAAGGAAATAAACAACTTTCTGACTTTGAGAAGACATCTGAAGGCAGCTCTGTTTGGGGAAGTTTTTAATGTTCGATGTTTTATGGTGTTTTTACTATTCTTTTGGGAGCTGCCCAGAGTGGCTGTGGAAACCCAGCCAGATGGGCGGGGTATAAATAACAAAATTATTATCATCATTACAGGCCTCCTAACTTACTTTTACTTGAAATTTAAGCATTCGTTGCCGAAGTTTCATTGACAGTTACTCATTTTTATTACCAACTCTGCTTTGGGTGTGTAATCCAACTAACATGCCCCATTAGCACAATGATTTTCACGTATGCGGTGGGACACCCTCGATCCCAGCATGCACCCTGAGTCTTCCTCAGAACTGCTCCAGAGGTTTGGGGGAATCCCTAGAGCAGATTTAGTGGGCATATGATGGTAGAATTCCCAGTTGCAAGTGGAAAACGTTGGGCTGATGTGTCACTTGTCTACTTTGGATACAAGAGTAGTCTGACAATAACATTTTTGGTAACACCTGAGATTTGAATGGGCTACTTAGGGGTCCTATCCCATCAAGGTGTTGGCCTTAGGCTTCTTTCACTTCTGTGATAAAACTCTATAAAAGGTCTTCTCAGGCCACTCTCTGGATTTGGGCTGCAGAAATACAGGGACGAATGGTTGCTTCAGCGAAAGAAAACTACCACTAAGGGATGCTGCCTTTGTAAAAACAGCAGTCAGAAATTTGCGTCCCTTTGGGAAAGAGAAAAATATTTCTAAATCTTACTAAGGGGAATGAATTGAAGGCACAGGAACTCACCTCAGCTGAAGAATATCCCGAGGAGGAATATCTGGACATGTCAAAGTCGTCATCACTGCAGAGGAAGAAAAAGCGCAATGAGGAAAGAGAACCCAGTGAGTGAGAGGGACCCTCCAGAGCTCACTGGCCACATCACTCTTGTTCACAGAGTGAAGATGCAGGCAGATTTGCAGGATCCACCAACAGTAGCACCTGCTTCCAAGAGTGGCCACCCAGATGCCTCCAGGTAGAACTCAAGCAAGGCATGCCAGGTGATGCCTTTCTTCTCTTGTTGTTCCCCACACCTGACACTCATTCAGAAGGTACATGAGTCTAGGAGTGGCTACTGGCAGGCCTCCCCCAGAAATTTGGGCACCTCCGGAGGACCTGTTTATTGAGCATTCCTCCAGAGCTACTTGCACAAAGCTCATGTGGAAATTAGATTACAACCTGGTTTTTACTGGCCACCCCCATTTCTTTTGCAACAATGAGCATGCATCTCAATTTACTTATGAGGTCTCCCCGTTAATCATTCTTTCATTCCACACTGTTCAATGCATTTTGACTTCAACTTTGCTATCTGCAAGAAGTCAGGCTCTTTTTGCAAATGGATTTGTTGTGTTAGGGAGACAAGCATTTTAACCCACTTAAACTGGATTTAATTTCCCACTAGCCAACTGAATCCCTCCTGTGAAATACAGACAATAAATAAAATTCCACGTTTTAGCTCTGGAGACTGAGAAACTTTGCCATGCTGGCCGGGCAAATTTGATTTGATCACAGTGGTATGTAAAACAGGAAAAGGTTCTCAGAAAATTTCCAAGAGAACAATGGTCTTTTACTGCAATCATCTGAATCTATACCTGTCTGTGTCCAGTGCTACCAATGGCTTTTCATCAGGACTCTGGTCTAATGAGGAATAGCCTTTATTGGGAACAACGAGCCTGAAATTAAAAAGAAAACATTATACATGTCACCATGTAAACATTGAAAGCAGAAGTTAAGCGAGGAGCAAGGGGTGTGTGAAGCTGTTCCTTTAGTTTCAGAATACCAGAGGACCTAGTATGGCAGGATGTGGAGATTAGGTAGAAGCTGCTGAGATAAATGGTAGCAATCTAGTTCTAGGGATGCTGTAAAACAGTGTTCCCCAACCTTGGGCCTCCAGCTGTTTTTGGACTACAACTCCCATCATCCCTCGCTAGCAAGACCAGTGGTCAAGGATGATGGGAATTGTAGTCCAAAAACAGCTGGAGGCCCAAGGTTGGGGAACACTGCTGTAAAAGGAAGCATGAAACATCTTGGAAATATGGTTATCTCTAGTGAATCCTTACAGAATACAGGGAAGACTGGTGTGAATAGTACAGTGGTGCCCCGCAAGATGAATGCCTCGCAAGACGGAAAACCCGCTAGACGAAAGGGTTTTCCGTTTTGGAGGTGCTTCGCAAAACGAATTTCCTATGGGCTTGCTTCGCAAGACGAAAATGTCTTGCGAGTTCCTGCAGGTTTTTTCCCCTCCCCCCCCTTTTCCCAAGCCGCTAAGCCGCTTATCAGCTGATTCGCTAAGCCGCTAAACAGCTGATCCGCTAAGCCGCTTATCAGCTGATCGCTAAGCCGCTTAACAGCTGATCCGCTAAGCCCACTAAGCCGCTAATAGCGCTAATCCGCTAAGCCGCTTGCTTCGCAAGACGAAAAAACCGCAAGACGAAGAGACTCATGGAACAGATTCTTTTCGTCTTGCGAGGCACCACTGTACATAGCCCCCTATTTCCAACTACAATCTGAGTAACCCTCAAGGCATCAAGATTAGACTACTGTAATCTGGTAGTCTCTTAGGTTTGGAAGCTGAATATTTGAAGGACTCCCTCCTCTATGAACCTGACTGATAAGATCTTCGTTTGTCCCCCACTTATGGAATGTTCTCTCCAGGAGGCTCGCCTAGTGGAGCCTTCCAGGATTTATTTATTTTATTCCATAAAATTCCAGGATTTATTTATTCCATAAAATTTATATACCACTTGACTGTAAAAACCAAAACACCTTCAAAGCAGTTTACAAAAGGAATAATGTACCACATCAATATTTTTCTTAATACCTAGACATTTAAAATTAGTTAACTCCAATGATGTTATCTGTTCATTTTATTATTTTTAAACATGGTATTTTAGCACTGTTTGGTTTTCTGAATTCTAAGCTGTCTTTGACTTTTTTGGGGGGGCTATCACAAAGGACTGAAGAAGATGCTCACACTTCAAAATTCTTCTCAAACCTTCACATTGTTGCAAACACTTTGGAACAAAAGGAGTACCTCAAAAAATATATTATGGCATTAGCTTTCATGGACTATAATCCACGTCGTCAGGTACACAAAGTTGTTACCCACCGTGTGTGTGTGTGGGCTGTCTCCTCCCTTCCTCCCCCCCACAAACACACAGTTGTGGGGTGTGTAAAGAACAGTGGGGCCAAATGAAATGCAATATCTGACATTTAATGACAATCACAACAGCAGAATTGGAATTAACATTGCCCTTAAATTGCTAAATTAATTTGACCTTTGTAGTGGAACAGGAAACCCATTTTGGTAAGATTTTTCCATCCTTGTGGAGCAGAAATGTGCTTCGAAAGGCTGGACATTTTGCAGCTTTCTCACTTGTAGCTCTTACCTATACTAGGGAAAAGCTACACAATTGATCTCTTTCCCAGGCAGACACAATTATATCAGCAGGTGCTGATTTACCTCTTAACTCAAGCAGAACTATGGAGTCGTTTAACCCATTTTCTAAGCTAGTGGCTATTGACAAAACTCTACTCCCAAAAGAGTTCTGCATGAACAACAGGGCATGCCTACCCAAACTGAAGTCCACTGGTATGGTTTACAAATTAAGCACTTGAATATTGTGAAGTGGTCTACCTTGTTCGTGCCATCACATTGTTCTTCTTGGGCTGTTGGTTAACTGGGCTCCCCATGTTTCCATTTTTCAGGGACCCCTTGCGAGCCAGCTCCCTCTGTTTCTCTGCAGAAGGAAGGCAGACATTAACATCCAAGTTAGCGAGGCTGCTTCTCCTTTGACGATGATTAATTATAGCAAGGTTAGCCACAGACTATCAATCCCGTTCTCTGAAAATCATCCTACCACTTCCACATTCTTGGTGGGCGAGGAAACAAAGGATGCTTGCAGTCTCATAGGAAAAGGGTCTTATGATTTTTGTTGCTTGGATGTGGGCTCCAGTGTGAGCAAGTGAAAGCTTTGCTTTGACACGCAGAACAGAAATGGTGCATTTCACTATTTGCAAAATACAGTAAACCCGCAACTTATGCACATTTAATGTGTGCTCACTCAGCTTTACATGGGTGCCAAAAATATATATTAAAACATTTAGAAGGGGGACGGAAAGGAACTGACTCGGGACGTTGGCAACCCTGCCCACCAATGAACCCAAAGAGTTTTGACTCGACACGATTCTGGCTTTAGGCGTAAGCTCTGGGACGTAACCCCCGTCTAAGTTACAGGCTTACTTTAGTAATTCAATGGGTCATTTCAGAGGTGGTAGAATAATTTTCATAACCTCCATGGTTAACCATGCACTGCTGGTCCTGGGCTGGAGGAAAATACTTGAAATTTTACTTACCCCCCACACGTTGTTGCCGTCTATAGCAGGGGTTGCCAACTTCCAAGAGACTGCGATCTACTCACAGAATTAAAAACTGGCAGTGATCTACCCCTGTTTTTTAGGGGTTCAGGTGTCAAAGTATTGGGGTTAGGGTTGCAGTTGTTGAGGTTTTTTTAGAGAAGGGGTTTGGGAGGATGAAGTTGCTTTGCTTATTTTAGAGAGGGGGGGGCGCCACATTTTTTAAGTATTTTGGGGAGAAAGAGAAACAGCAACTCACAAAAGGATTGCTGGGGGGGAAACAGCCTCGGTTTGTAAACTGCATCTTCTGTTCTCCAACAATGGAGTGCGGGGCCGGAAGGGGACCAGGGATCGACCGCGATCGGCAAAAACATCGCAGGAATCTACCAGTAGATCATGATCAACCTGTTGGACATCCCTGGTCTATAGCAACAGGAACATAGAAATTGCTTAGAAGGTACCTGCACATTTTGCCCTATACCTTACTTTCTAGGAGGGCTAGAGACTTACTTTTTTTTTTTAAAAAAAAAAAGGTCAGGGACACCTGCCAAACAGCACTACTTCTACCGGTGTTGGTTGCTTTAGTGTATTGTATTAATCTGTATTTGTGAGCTACATTATAATAAAAATACTTGAAAAGAGAAATAATTGTAAGGTCAAGGCTGTTTCTGTGTCGGTCTCAAGGAAGCGTTGTCACATGCGACACATCTGACACAGAGTTAACACACCTTACATAAGCAACACGGATTCTTAGGTAATTTTCACACAATAGCACATCATTTCATTTGACTGACAGCTCAACACACAGCATTGTAAAGTTTTGCTCCAAACAAATGTGACATATGAAGAATTTGTAAGTGCCATGCAAGCAGATGAAAACAGAATGGTAAACAGAAAGAGAGGGTTGGTTGGAGACAAGCATCCTGTTCTCACAGTTCTGCGTGGCTTGTTAATAGGGAGGTGAAAGGAAGGGAATGCAAGGCCTTCAGGGAATTACAAAGCCTTGCGCTTGCCTGCAATTCAACATCAGGAAAAGGACGGCGAAAGGCCATGGTTGTTTCCTGACCTGCTACGCTCTTTTGTTGGCAGCTTAAAGCCTTTCACTCAGAGGAGAAGCACAGCATTTAGTTTTTTTAGCATGATGCAGAACGCAGGAGGGTCAGCCCTGCGAGAAGAGTACCCTTCATTATGCCCTGCCATAAAAGGGATGGCAGTCAGTGAAGTAAAGTGATTTGTGTTGGCAAGAACTGCATCCAAATTGTGCTGCCAGTCATGCCTGTACCCCCTACCCCGGTTACATACTATGTGAGACAGTTTTCCCTTCTAGCTGAAGCAAGAGCAAACATGATGATGAGGCAGCTTGCCAGACTTAATTCCTCACTGATCTACGTACCGACTAGGTTCAGAGCAACGTACTTGACTTATTTTTATTTAGGAAATGCCTTAATCGCTTCCTACAAAGCTCCTCCTTGCTTTTCATTCAAATGAATATCAAAGCAGTGTACAAAACAGAACTCAAATGCAATACAATATGTAGCCAAACAAAAAACTAATAATGCTATGCTATTCAACCACAACTGAACACCCATCCACATCCCTCCATTCAGAATCCCAGCCAGTCAGTTTGCCTAACAAAGACTAAATGAAAATAAATTTCAAATAGAAGCCATCTTCTACCTCATCCCCTGCCTGAAGCAGAACATTTGCTCCCTCCTGCCTCACACCCAGGAGGCAGCCGGGTGCGTGTGTGTCTGAGCTCTGCACAGATAAGAAAGTTATCTCATCAATATAGCTCAGCCTGGTTATAAGATTATCAGACCAGCAATTATAACCTCCATGCCTTCCAAAGGAAAACAAAGAGCAAACATAGCAGGGAAGCGGAAATTGGATTAAAAAACAACTACCACCTCACATGTTGTTTGGCCTGGTACTATGCCCATCATTATGACAATTTGGGGTGGGGGGAGTGCATGCACTGCGCCAAAAGTCGCCTCAACAGCCCCTTCCTAAGTCATCCAGTGTTGGGGGATAGGGGGACAGCAGGCTTTGCCCTTCCTATTGCAGTGGCTCCTAGATGACAGTTTCCTCTTTCCCATAGGTGAGGAGGACCATCTGTTGCTAGTAAAAGGTAAAGGTACCCCTGCCCATACGGGCCAGTCTTGACAGACTCTAGGGTTGTGCGCCCATCTCACTCAAGAGGCCGGGGGCCAGCGCTGTCCGCAGACACTTCCGGGTCACGTGGCCAGCGTGACATCGCTGCTCTGGCGAGCCAGAGCCGCACACGGAAACGCTGTTTACCTTCCCGCTAGTAAGCGGTCCCTATTTATCTACTTGCACCCGGGAGTGCTTTCGAACTGCTAAGTTGGCAGTTGCTAAGGGATACTTAAAACTTGCATTTACACAAAACCAAGTCTCGCTCTCATCTGCATAGCTCCACCCTAAACCCCAAACCAGGCCTGCTCTCATTTGCATAATTCCACCCTAAACCCAAAACCAGGCCTGCTCTCATTTGCATAATTCCACCCTAAACTCAAAACCAGGCCTGCTCTCATCTGCATAGCTCCACCCTAAACTCAAAACCAAGCCTCATCTGCATAGCCCCACCCTAAACTCAAAACCAGGCCTGCTCTCATCTGCATAGCCCCACCCTAAACTCAAAACCAGGCCTGCTCTCACCTGCATAGCTTCACCCTAAACTCTGTTCTGGACACACTGGCATGATAGGACAGGACTGAGCCAACGAAGAATGACTCCTGCTCAGTCCCTTGTGTGGAACAAGCATTACTACAACTAAGAACTGGTGTGTGACTGCACAAGTCAAGCTTGGGGTAGAGCGGAGTATTGTTTTTGTTTGTTACGATGCTATGAATTTTTTGTGATCCCGAGTGAAGGGCAGTATAGAAATTTAATAAATAAATAAATAAAAGCACATGGGACCCAACATACAGCTGCTCTTTCTGGCCTAACAGAACAGAATTCTTAATGTTGGCCATCATGCTTCTCCAAAGACACACCCAAAGCAGCACTCTGCCAACTGACTGCTGATGTTGGTGTGATGTGTAGCTGTTCTTATTGCTATGAGCTGCTTTGAGAATCATTTGTGGGGGGAAGCAAATGAAGGGATGAGGATGAGCTGCCTGCAGATCTTGAAGAGTCTGCTGTTGCATTCTGCTCCACCCCTCAATTAGCTAGGACCAAATGGGGGAATATTTTCCTTTTCAGGATATCCTATCCAAAAAACTTGGATGACTGCAGCAGCAAAGTCACTTTCTGAAAAAGCCAATAAGGTTAAGTTTCCCAAGAAGAAATTAAAAAACTCTATTTGTGCACATCAGAGCAATCAGATCAATAGATTGGTATTTAGGGAAATTATGTTGTTCCATTTTTCTTCAAGGTTCTTATTGCTTTTTATCACTTCAGTTAACCTGCTGAAAGAAGCCAATTCTAAACAGCACCCATGAGGCTTCTTACTTTCTCTCCAAAACAATTAAGGGTTCCTAAAAGGGGTTAAAGCTGTTTATCAAGCTACACCAAGCTCTTGATCTAGCAGTTTTAAGAAATCGATTTGGACACAACACTTTGGTCTCAGCATCTTCATTTCTACTCTGAATAAAGAGAGTCAATGCTTCTTTTATTCTCAGCATCAAAACAAGCATATCAAAAACAGAACTTAGAAAATGACATTTCTAAAACCTATGTTGATAGATCACGGTTACAATTCAAAGAAAGTTTTGTGTTTAGACTGATGAGCCTTAAGCATTAATGCTTCTCTCTGAATTGTTCCCAGTGTATATAAAAGCAGGCTCTCAATGCCTCACCCCTTGCGCTGGCTCTCTTTAATTATATCCACAAATGCCTTACAAGCATGACTAAACGATATCCTGAATCTGCCAAGACCTCCATGGATGCAGCTTTTATCTCTGCCTGGGACAGCAGACACAGCCCTTGTGTGCTTATTTAAAGGGCACATGATGTCAAGAAAAACATGCTTTGTCCTCCCAGTTCAGAGAACATGCCCCACACTCAACCACTGTAGGCTACTGACATCATGGCTCTGATTTCACAGGAGCAAACAGATGCACTGCCCTTTTGACAAATGCCCTCTGGAAAACAGGGGAGAAGCTCTTGGAGAATACTCAGGATACAGGAGGATACCAGTTTGAGACTTCTCTTTGATTTGTATGTGCTGAGTCTCCTGGAGGGAAAGGGGAAGTCGAGTGGGACACCACCAAGCTGCTCCAGCAACTCTCTCTGCTTTCTCCAGCAGCGAGTGGTGAAGCAGCAGAGCAGGCCAAATCACCAGTCCCGTTGGGTTCCAGCTAGAGCACAGCTCTGCCCCTTCACACAAAAAGAAACAGTGCTGCCCTTCTGTTCTCTGGAAGGC